CATCCATGCTGACATTGAAGGCGATAGCTTAAGAGCAGCCTTTAATGCTATCTTAGACTCTGTTTACATCCGTCTGTCCGTCCTCCTGATCTAAGGCAGGACTAACGAGTTCTAATCCAGAACCGAATAAAAGAGGTTCTAGTTTTCAGGACATCATATAATCTGCAGAAATGAAAGCCTCCCACACGCTAAAATAGTTCAGTTTAGTTCTTCAGATTCCTGCAGGGAGGCACAGAGCCATATCCGACTTTAATTAGAACAAGAATGAAAATATTTCCATCTGGATAAAACGCCAACAGCAGCTGAGCTCCTAAACGTCTGAGGTTGGTTTCATGCCTGAGCAGCAGGAGTTTAATCCTGACATTTTGTTTGAAATAAAGCATAATTAGTTAGATGTGATGAGGAAACGGCTGCAGCAGCAGCGGAGCGACAGGTTTCAGATAAACATGGATCTATGGTGCCTCCGGGATGCAGTGAGATCCGTCCGAACTTCAGGAGCTCCTGCTCGGCTGCAGACGCCATAAATCAGAGGTGATGCAGGAGCTGAGCTGCGTTAACTTAACAAGGTGTTAAATGTTTTCATTGGGCGCGGGGATAATTATGATAGGAGGTCATTAATCAAGTCTTTTTCTTGTCTGTGCCGGGGGTAATTAGTCTGTCAGTCTGTCCGTCCTGCTGACGTCTCGGCAACAAAGAGTTTTACTTTAACGATCCCTCAGCTCCCGTCCGCCGCAGCAGCAGCATCTCGCAGCGTTCGCTTTAAAATGAAATCAATGCAGAAAAGTGAAAACAGAGCAGGGAGAGGCTTTATTAGATGGAAGTTTAAAAGGAAAGCAGCAGCAGTTTGTGGTCCAGCAGCTGCAGCCGGAGGCTTTGATGGATTGAGCTTTTCATTGGGAAAGACGAGCAAATGGAGAGAGAGGCTGAGGGAGGTAAAGTGCCTCTCTCTATCACACCAACATTTCTCTTCATTTTTTCTTTCATTTGTCTTTTCTCCACGATGGTTTTTGTTCCTTCTGCTGCCTGTTTCCTCCAAGGTCGTCTAATGAGTGACGGCGTCTCCTTCTCCGTGCGGAGCTCCCAGCTCAGGCCTCCTCTCTCCCGTTTCCCTCCAAGCAGAGCATGTGGTGCTCGCTCGCTCGTTAGGCAGGCGGGGGTCAGAGCTCCGAAGCTTTCAGGCAGAGAAAGGCTGAACCGAAGGGATTACCCAGAATGCTCGGTCCACAGTGGACAGTCTGAAGCAATCCCTCATACTGAGCATGCATGCAGCGACAGTGGAAAGGAAAACTCCCATTTGAAGGGAAGAAACCAGAACCAGGGTGATCTCCTGGAGCTCTTAGGATGTCAGAGAGAAGATGAAGGTTCATGGCAGGAATAGAGGAAGTCAGATGAGCTCTTCAGTGGGACGGCTGCTGGCATCTGTGGCATCACTTTAGCCTAAATATAATCCAGAATCCTTTCAGGTCATCAGAACCAGAATTTATTTAAATTTAGAATTTAATTTTATAAATTATTTCTTCTTTTGAATTAATACTTTTATTCTGCTCTAATCTGGATTTTCCCTTTGGACACATTAAGAGTTGCAGCTCTGAGCTTTTAAATGAACATGTCAAAGCAAAGCAGTGGCGCCCCCTATGGGAGACCAGCAGACCAACTTATTAGCTACGTGTTTTATATTAGGGTCATATGAGGTCATTGATTTTAGGGAAAAACAAACAAGCTTTATTCTAATGCCTGATTATTTCCATCTGATCTGACTTTTAATTATTTTTAATTATTAGTTTTTTTTCTTTGTTTTAATTGACCAGCTGTTCATGGTCTCTCCGTTATTCGTTGATATAAATAAGTTTTATTTCTCTTTTCTTTTGCTCTCCTGTTCTCTGAATGTTCAGGTTTTTATTCATTCATTTCATCCGTTCATATGAGGCCGTCGTTCAGCTGATGGAGGAACGATTTGTTCCTGAAGAGTTCAGGAGGAACATCTGCAGCAGATGTTGGTGTTTCATGTTCTCCAGATCCAAACATTGCAGAACCTCCAGAACACCTGGCCCAGACCATCTGGCCCAGAGCATCTGGCCCAGAGCATCTGGCCCAGACCACCTGGCCCAGACCACCTGGCCCAGACCATCTGGCTGCAGCAGCCGATAGTTTTAGCAGAATGAGTCTATTTATGTTCATCGTTAACATTTAGCAGTTTTTTTAATCTCCTGCTGCTGGTCTGATGCTAACACCTCCTGGCTCCGCCTCCCTCCTGCTTCTAGAGTCTCCCATTGGTCAGATGCGTCCTCCTCATGGCAGCGCCACGCCTCAGAAGAACAGCTACCTGCTGGTCATCATCCTGGTCTCGGTGGGAGCCATCAGCGTGGTGATCGTCACGGCGCTCGTCTGCATCCACCGCTCCTCCTCCCAGCAGAGAAAGTAAGACCGCCTACATCAGCCGCCATCTTGATCCATCAGGTGCTAAGGATGGAGCAGGATGGTTCTGGTTCTGCTCTGTAGCTGTTCGCTCCCTAGATATCCCATAATATCGTTGGACCAACAGCAGCTTCTGCTTCATGTCGATCTCTGACCGTCTGCTTCCTGTTTCCCTTCCATTTCCACAGGAAGCGGGCGAGCCACAGCGCTGGGAAGAGGAAAGGCAGCCAGAAGGAGCTCCGGCCGCCGGACCTGTGGATCCACCACGAGGAGATGGAGATGAAGAACATGGAGAAAGCTCCAAGCGTGGCCCCGTCCGGCCGCGACTCGCCCAGCCAGTCCTGCCAGGACCTCCCCCCGGTGGCCCACAGCCAATCAGAGAGCCAGATGGGCAGCAAGAGCAGCCACTCCGGTACAGGATTTGATCCGGTCCACGTTTCCCTCTTTCCGCCCAGAATCTGTCAAAGCTTCACTGTGGGGTTTGTTTGGTTTCCCCTCCAGGAGCCGACCCAGACGAGGCGTCCAGCGGCATCTCCACTCTGGACCGATCCATCTCGGCCAGGAGGGGGACCCGAGGGAAGATGATGATCCCCATGGACCTGCAGCCCAGCAGCACACGTAGGTCCAAACCCACCAGAACCACAACCTTCTGATGGTGGTCAGAGAAAGGCGTTCTGGTAACGGTCCGATTAACAGAACCGGCCCGATAAGTCGGCTTTACAGTCCGATAATCGCTTTAAAATGTAGATCAGGTGATCAGTGATGTCAGATTGGTGGTTTTTACCTGAAGCGTTTCTTTTTTTTCAATTATCCGTAAACAGAAACATGGATTTCAGAAATCGGTTGAAACGTTTGAGCAGAACGTTCCTTAGATTCATCTGAACCAGGAAGACTTTTCCAGATCTGGAGCTAGAATCCCAGAAGCTGCTGAGCAGCGGAGAGGATCCTGGTTCCTCTGGTGAATTCGGACGCTCCTATGGCGGAGGTCTGATGGACGATGCAGCAGAACCATCCTGGATTCTGGGTTTGGATCATTTCAGTGAAGCTTTGGAGCAAACTGAGCAGAACCTGAACACCCCCCCCCGCCCCCCCGACCTGTTTCTGATGAGTAGTTTCATCTCAGGTCTGACTAACGCATTAGTGGCGTCATCTTGGTCACAGCTGAAGGAAAACTGCAGCTTTGTTAATCTTCTGTATGTTTCTGTTGCTCACGGCGACACGTTTCCTTTTCTGCCACTTTATTCCCACAGAAGCGGCGCTGAACATCCTCACAGTGTGAAGCAGGTCTGGTTTGTGCCGCATCTAATTACAGCGTTTCTGCGCTGGCATGCGGCGCTCCCAGCCTCACAGTAATCACCTCCTCCTCTCCCTCGTCTTTTCTCCTGCTGTTTGTTTTCTGCGACGGAACAAACCGAACCAAGGAGGAACCGCCGGGCTGCAGCGGTTCTGTTCCTCTGCAGGGAGCTGCTGACGTGATGATGTCACAGCGCCCGGCTCCATCACACCCAGATGTTTCTTCCAGAGTTCTGCTCTTCATCTCATCACGGAGGGTTTGGTACCAGCAGACAGAAGCAGGACCTGTGAGTCAGTGTTCCAGCCTCTGAAGCTCCTCCTCCTGCTGGCTGATGATGTCAGAGGATCTGATCCAACATCTGGTCCTCAGACTGAAGCTCAGCTGATCCAGAGCTGCTCTGTGTGACGGACTCTGCTGCTGATCTGGTTCCAGCAGGAGAAACCAAAGGCCATGATGATGATGATGATGATCCGCTCGCCTCCCTGCAGGCTGAGCCAATCGATCCATGCTAAAATGGATCCGAGGTATCGATAACCACAGGTCTGTGATCAGCAGATTCAATTTGTGGTTTTGAGTCGATTTGTTGAGAGATGATTCCAGGAGGAGAATCGATCCAGTTATTGATCAGAAACATCGACCAGCAGGAAGCTGCAGGTTTATCTCTGTCTGAGGATGAAAACACGCAGCCAGGAACAGGATGGAGATTCACAGACCAACCGGAACACATCTGCACATCTCAGTTCTTCCTTTCTGTGAATTTTCCTCCAGATCTTCAGTTTGTTTTTAATGAAAACATGAATCAGAGTCAGAGGGAGATGTTCAGAGGAAAGAAGACGGTTCCAGAACCTGATCAGGAATCACTGCAGAACTTCCAGCTTATCTCCTCCATGTCTGACTGGAGGAGGATGTTCTGGTTCTGAAAGTTTTATCAGCCTTCATTTTACTCACTGTCAGTATTATGAACCTTTAGCTTTAACTATTAACTTTACTTAACGGTCCTGAACGACCCGTTGGCCTCGGTCCTGAACGCGTCGCTGACCGTGGTCCTGAACGCGTCGCTGACCGTGGTCC